CCATTCATGGCTTCCGTCCCATCGCAGCCCTCTGCAGCTGCGGGGAGAAGAGCTCTGGTGACTTTGTGACCTCTGGCCAGAGTGCCCGCCTGTCCCCTCTCTGGCCCTGCTCCCCCAAGGCTCCCCAGGTGTGTGTGTGTGTGTGTGTGTGTGTGTGTGTGTGAGAGAGAGAGAGAGAGAGAGAGGGAGAGAGAGAGAGAGAGAAAGAGAGAGAAAGAGAGAGAGAGAGAGAGAACCAGCGACCTGTTCTGTCAAAGAAAGGTTCTGCCATGTTGATATGACCTTCAGATTCTCAGGGTCATGGTAGCCTCCAACTTAGCGCTTCCCTTCCTCTGAATTAACCAATCGCGCAATAATGTGAACTCGAGCTCTGAGCCCAATCAAGTCAGAGTCAGAGTGAGGGGCCGGGCAGACCCCGGGGCAGGAAATAAAACCCAAACGGACTTCCCATTTGGTGTGCTTTGCCCATGATTCTCAGCAGCAACTGCACCCTCTGCAGAAGTCAGCCGGCCGTGCCCATCCAGTTTTGAGTGTTTGTCTCATCCCCGCAACACCGCTGAGCATTTCTAACAGCCTGTGTGTGTGGGTGGGTGAGGGGCGGTTCTACAACAGGAAGCCTTTCTGAGTAGCGCCCATGTCTGAAGAGGACCACCAGGGAGGTAAAGGCAGTGCCTGCAGGAGGGGGACCCCATTTACTGTCTCTTCAAACAGCCGCCTCAGTCAGGGACCCCAAGGTCATTCCCGGGGCAGCAAAAGGACGCTGGGAAAACAGGTGCCTTGAAGTGGGGTCCCCATGAGCCTCCAGTGACCTCACTTCCCTAAGTAAGGTTTTCGAGGGCTCCCAAAGCCCTGGACCAGGAGTCATGTGCAATCCTTTGGGCTCTACTTGGGAAATATGCGGGGAACCCAGCCTCTCCTCCCGCATTGCCATCCAGGTCGCTGCCCAGGGACCCACAGAACCGCTTCTCTTGTAGGCAGCACGTTAGCAGCCTCTTCTCCAGAAACTGGCCTCACTATATAGGTCTGTTCCCACTCGGGAACCCAGTCATCGTTTCTAAAACAAAGGCCGATCAGGTCCCTCCTCTGCTCAAAATCTGCAATGGCTCCCATTCCACTCAGAGAAAAGCCAATGTCCTACCCTTGGCCCCGAAGACCTCACACGATCTGCCTCCACTTACCTGCCTGAGCTTACCTCCTGCCACTCTTCATGCCCATTCTGCTCTGGCCACACCTGCCTTCTTGTCATTGCGGAAGCATGGCCGTCATATTTCTACC